GAAATTATCAGCCTGTCACTTAAAACTAAACTCATCTATTTTGTTATTCATTAAATTGATCTGCATCACTGGTTGAGAAAGAACATACTACAAAATAATATTTTATGTGGTAAACAATTTTGTACACATTCAAATGTGTTAAATAAATTTAGTTTATCACCAGTAAAGACCTCTCAGAATGTTTAGCAATGATAATATGAGTAGCCTGTCTTTTATCACTGTAATTTTAAAGATGAATTTGTTTAAATGGGAGGTTTACTTTAGCCGTCTTATCTTTCTCTTCTGTACTCCCTGAGCACTTTTAATCACAGCAAAGATTTGGGAGAATAAAAGACAGCATTTAATTTTTTATTAAATTAATCAAATATTTTATTAATTTTCCAGGTTTATCGACTATCCTTCAATCCAGAGTTATTTAGGAGAGGGCAATCCAAATCTGCTCCATCTCTTTATGCTTTGAAGTTTTTATTTAAATTGAAACATATGAAAAATAAGCAGGTTTTGACTGAATGATAGATTTTGGGCCTTCAGTAAAATTAAGATCCTGCACAGTTCAGTATGTTTCATGTAAACAGTGGTTTAACAATTATAAATACCCTAAAATCTTAGCCCCTTCTGTTTATCCAGCTTTCATCTATCCCTATTTGCCTTCCCTGTCTGTTCCAATAATGATGGCAATTTCCACTGCTTGTCAATGGTAGTGTTGCAAAAAACTGTGCCCCTTCCTTTTTGCTCCCACTGTATAAGGAGGAAATTCCATTAATAAATTTGCAAAGCTACCATTCTGTCCTTCAGATTCTGTCTAAAATCCATGTTAGAACTATAGCAAACTGCCTATGAATAAGGACTAGACAAGTGACCTAATTACAAGCTCTTACATATTTACATGATTAAAAGAAAATGTGTAATTATTAAAACCCTTGGTGCTTATCTGTGAGGCTGCAAATTGTACACCAAGGTGATTTGGGTATTCTGGTATGCCTATTGATGATGTCCTTCTGTCCTAGCTTAGTTTATGTGTCTACCTGTGACATTGTACCTGTACTTAGTAATAAGCAGGGGCAGGGACTGTTTTATTACATGTTTAGCACAATTTGTGCTCTAGTTCTCTGTATATCATATACAGAAAACTTATGCCAGAGAATCAATATATTATCAATTGATGCAAACTCAAGCAGACTTTAGCTCACTTTGTTCATGAAAAATTGCCAGCAGGTTTTGTATTAAGTATGATCAGGGAAGACTTTCCAAATATAATGGTAATGTTTACTTTGCCAGGAAAATATGATCCAAGGCAATGAAAGCTTCAGGAAGTAAAGCAGTGAAAATTGTCTATAAATCTTAAGCTAACTTGTAGTATAGAGAAGAAGAATGTATTAGTGCACAAGTACACTAAGTGAAAAAGATCTACCTAAAAGTTCTAGCACATCTTAAATAATATATAGAAATTATTTGCAACTATGTTTTTTATCCTCATGAATTGTGTAAATGTTCTATTGCACAAGAGAAAAACATTCTGAACTTACTTCTACCTTCAAATAGTAAGCTACATGGACATTTACAAAGAGAGATGTATCTACTGAACCAGTCAGAATTTCTCTTGGCCCTGTTCATCCTGAGGTTCAGCATTCCCTCTAAGTTAAAGCAGAGTTTGGTAACTGAACTGTCTGGTAACAAGGACATTTTTGCCTTCTGGATAGTTTTTGGGTCGAGGGATCTGATTCACTTGTTAGTTATTCATTATTACCATGAAATCCTGCCTAGGGCTTTTAAAATTTGTGTCATCATTCATCTCCATGACACCTTAAGCAGGATTATACGTCTGCATCTTACAAGTATGCTTTCTCCATATTCTCAGGTTTATTTTAGTGCAGTTTCATGGTTTTATTTCCCCTCTTGTTCAGAAAAACACTTTTATAGTGCACAGATCCTTGCACTGTTCATATGTTGTGCCTTTTAAATTCCTCTTTTGAACAAATTGTTCATAATATATATCTTATTTCTGGGATGTGACATTCATTACTATTGTCTCATAGCTCAGAGTTATAAAGCATAGACTGCCCTAGAATACAAGGCAGTGTGGAAAGTCTGTAAAGAGTTTTAGGATCATGTTCTGATATGACAGGAAATATCATCTAGGAAGAAAGTAAGTATATAAGGGAAAAAAATGGCATTTAAGGTTGGATTCCTCTCCCAACTCTAGGAATTACATGTGTAAAGGTGGCTTAAGTTCCTGTACTCCCTTTATGCATAGTAGAGCTATCTTCTGGTTCTTAAATTGCCCCCAGATAAATTTTTTGCCTTATGCATCTACAGGAAGTTTCTCTTCTCATATTAGTTGTAATTCAATTTCTTACAAGGTGTGTGCTTTCATCAAGGAAAATATTGCTTACCTTTCCTCCAGTGGGGAATTTTGATGAACGGAAAGACTGCTGCCCATGCCAATTATCTTATCAGGATCTTTTTCACCCTTTAGCTGGGTAATCAGAGGATAGATCCTGTTCCTTGTCCTCAAAGCTGTTGATTCAGTATGCCAGAACATTGATCTTTCTCAGTCTCAGATCATGGTAGAGCAATAGAAAATTGTTGTCACTAATGTAGTCCATTTTTTCCATTAAACAAGGTTCCTTATTAGTACAGAATTATATCTACAATTTTAATCAAGGTGCAACTGATTTTCATCTCTGCAATTCAATCTCATAGAAATAAAATTTAGTGCTCTGGCTTCTTCTAACAATTGAACCTCTGTGGATTTCATTGTTGATGTATACATCATTAATTCTTATCCCTGACAGAATCAGAGCATGGTTGAGGTTGGAATGGAACTCTGGAGGTCTTCAGGTCCAACTCCCCGTTTTCAAGCAGAATCAGAATAAATTGCCCAAAACTGTGTCCAAACAACTTATGAATATCTTCAGGGACTGAGAACCTACAACTCTCCTGGACAACTTGTATCAGTACCAGGGCTGAGTTACCTGCAAAGCAAAAGAAATTCTTATGTTTGAAAGAACCTATTGTGTTTCAGTTTTTCCCCATTATCTCTTCTGTCACTGGGCATGACCAAGCCTGGCTTAGCCTTTACACCCTCCCTTCAGATATTTGTACACAATGATGAGATACTCTGTAAGCCTTCATTTGTCTAAGCTAAACTGTCCCAGCTCCCTCTTCCTTTACTCATAGAAGAGATGCTCCAGTCTCTTAGCAATTTTAATGTCTCTCTCTAGTAGCTCCATCTCTGTCTTGTGCTGGGGAGCCCAGAACTGAACAGAGCATTTCAGGTGTGGATCCACCAGTAGTGATCAGAAAGGGAGCCACCTCCCTTGACCTGCTGTCAACACTCCTCCTTGATGACAGAGAGCTCCATCTTACTAGTGCCAGGTCCACCCAATAGTCATGCCAGTAAGTGGTCAGTCCAAAGGAAATGACATATGACACCAAGAGGATAATAGGCTTTTTTTAAGATTGCTGATGTCAAGCCTGTTTCAGTAATCAGAACTATAACTATCAGTGACTTTTCTGAGAATTTTTCTCATTCCCAGAAATTTCCAAGCTGCAGATTAATCTCTGTGTGTACCTTTGTGGTTGCACTGTCATTGCAGAGTTATCCCATTTTGAAGTCAATTGCACTAACTGGAAGTATCCTGAAGATATTGCTTGAGTAAAAGATTCTGAATCCACCTCTAAGTAAATCTAAATATTTAGTCTTATTGTTCCAAATAAACCTGGGAATGTTCAACTAGATTGTTTCTGAAAATGGAAATATTAGAAGTTATTTTGAGATATGTATTTTGTATGTATATCTCTTACTGACTTCCTTCTGCTCTCTGTTACACTGTTAGTATAAGTGGTATGTAGGATGTAGATGGGCATGCTCTCCTTTATATCTCCATGTACTAAGCATTGGTGGGACATATGTACACTTACAGTGGGCTCACATCCCATCTAAGGGTCTCTGATTAATTCTAAGTATCCTGTCATTGCATTGCTGTAATTCTGATGCATTCTGACACAACTAATTAATAATGAATTAGTGTTTTATTTCAGAATTGGTTTTTGTATGTGTGTGTCTTTAAGGTCTTTCCACCATAATAAGTATGACTTGATAAAGTATATAAAAAAACCAAACAAATTCAAGCAGTAAAACCTTTAACATTTTCCACAAATAATTTCAAAATCTAATTTACTATCAAAAACAAAGCAGGTAAGTCAGATACTCAGTGAGATCTAGTAGTGCTCTAGCTAACACTAATGCTATTGGATGGAAAGCTATTCTGTTCAGATTTTTCAGTAACAGCAGTAAGAAATGTAGCTTGTTAAGAGAGATAGTGGTTTTTTTAGTACTGTAAATTTTATTTGAGCAAAAGTCTGCTCACAAAGAATTTTGTGTCAAAACTGCAAAATCAAATTCACAGACATCTAAGGTAGAATTTAAATGACATAAGCATAGGCATCGAAAGCTGTTGGGGTGCCCTAGGGTATTCAAGGCATCTGTATGAGGCAGATGTGAGGCAGATCAAATGTGAACATCAAGTGGACCAGCAGCTGGACACCAGGATATCCTAGGACATCTCTCACAGTATAACTGAATTGACCTAGGGTATGATCAATTTCACATTAAAACATCCAATTGTAGATGTCCACATGTAAACTGTCTGACCCTGCTGAAGAGCTGTGTTCCACTGATGGTACTGTCTGGATTTTCACTGCCTCTAATAGGAGGTTAGAAATTTTACATAAACCCAGGCTTGTTAACAGGGAGCTGTATTACATTCCGTTTATATTTTCTTATATACTTATTAATTTTATTATAAAACTGACAGCATTTTTGTTTTTGTCTTGAATAATAATAAAAAATCTTGTATTCTAGTATTTTTTCTTGCCCATTCAGTGTTTTTTATGTGTAGTTAAAATAGAGGGGAAAAAATAAATACTTATTTTCCTAGTGTATTCTTTACAAAAAATTAATTGATATTTTAAATGTCACAATATTTCTTTTCTAGACAGAAAAAGGGAGTGCCCTGCATGAAGCAGCCCTATTTGGAAAGGTGGAGGTAGTACGCATTTTGCTTGAAACAGGTAAATTTGATTTACAGAAAACACTGAACAAATACCCTTAATTTTCCCAATCTGGTGTATGCCTCCTTAAGTTTTGGTTATACTTTTTTTGGAATTACTTTTATCTTTATCAGCCTTTTCAAATCTAATCACATGTACTTCTCATTAAAACAGTGTTCTTTTAGAATAAGAAATTGCTATACACAGAGAACAAAGGTGATGTTCAGACTCAGAAATTCCATATATGACTCAGTGTATGCCACTGTATTCTGAGAATAAATGTATTATGAGAACAAAATGGCTACATAAAATTTTGTTTTTCTCTCTGAAAGGCAGCCAAGAATATTCTTTGATGTAGAGACCACAGGATTCATGTTCACATTTATTTCCTTCAGTTAGCTATTCCTAGCCAACATACCATTCTGCCTGCTTCTTCATTTCCTGGATAAACTGAGTGCCTTGAAGAAAAGGGAAGGCACTGTGTCTCTGAGAATTGCATTTGTCCTGAAAGAAAAGAACAGGGATATAAAGTCCAAACAACCCATCCACTGCATAATAAGTTTCAGAACTGTTGTTGGTAAATTACTCGTATCAATAACTCTCTTCTCAGATAAATTATAAGACCAATGAGAATGAAAGTATTTAGAAATAGTAGTAGATTCATGTACTTCCATTACATTGAGGGATCTCATTGTTCTTTATTATCAGTTTTTGTGGTGTTACTCATACATTGCAAAAAAAGGTTTATCCTAATCACAGCTCTTCAGCTGAATCTCAACTAGTGTATCCCTGATCTCAGACCTGTTTTCAGAAAAAAAAAGGCCCTTCCAAGTTTCTTTTCTGTCTGGATGAAAAAGAAGGAGGCTGAAAGAGATCTTCACCTGCCCTAAAAAAGGCAAGGCCCTTTTATTTCCTAAAAAAGGAAGGACTGGAGAACATCACACAAACATAGGAAGCCCTTTAGACCACAGAAAAGGCTCACCTTTTTCAGATTAATGTGTTACAGCCTCTACCAGCGTACAATTGTCAAGACAGTGGAGTAGAATCTTCACTGTGAACTCCTTCAACCCCAAATGCTCTGCACTTCTGCAACACTCCTCACCTTCTGCCTTTTATACCTAACAATCCCCTTTTTTCTAGTTCTTCAAAAAGAGTCAGAAGATGTTATACGTAGCTACTACAAAGGAAAGATGTGAGTTGGTGTGTCTGGCTTCTGAAAGTCAACTGCCACTGCTAAATAGCCCAGTAATATTTTGGTTTTTTTTCAGAGAGAAAATTTTGTGTTTCTCACAAAACAAATTAGGAAACTGTCCATTGGATTAGGAAATTACTGTAATTGCAGCCTTTTCTGTTGAACGCTTTCAGAGTGTCCTTTTAAATCCTGCTTTCTCTATTTTTCTCTGTTTAGTGTCCTGAGAAGAATTTCACTTTGTTTGCTAAGACATTTCATATCTTTACTTTTTATGAAAGCACATCTAAGTGGAAAAACAACTTGAGTATTTTATCATAAGGCAAAATTTCCAAGGAAACTCCTACAAGGCAAAGGTAGAGAGTCAAGTACCATGCACAACAGGTTCTGATTCAGAGCAATTCTCAAACTTAATTCACAGTTTAAGGCAAGCCATTACTTTGTTAACAGTATGGACAGTCTGTGAGGAAATCCTGTGGCTGTTCATAATGCCTGTATACTACACATGGATATTTCAGTCTATTCACGGCATGAATTTTGAAAATGTTGCCATGAAGTACAACTTAATTAACATACAGATAAAAATATTTTCAGTCTTGCTCTCAAAACACATGCTTGTACTATGGACTAGAAAGTTCCCAATGAATTTGGAGTTTGGAGAGAAATGTAGGAGAAACATTCAAATGATTTATTGATTTTACAAAATATCCTTTTCAGTATGGCTCTCTGTTCCTTAGGAACAATCTGTTAAAATAATCCCAAATTCGGTTACTTTATATCACCATATTCTATGGAAACATAAAAAAACATCCATGTCAGCATGTGAATTTTAGGCTACTCAAGCTTTAAACTGAAATGTATCCTATACTTCAGCTGTAATGCAGTTGTAAAACCACTTGGTTTGAATTTTTCAGATAGTTCAGTCTGATATAACACATTTATAATCTGAAGTATTTAGGGTTAAATATTCCACCACAGATCCATTTCTTTTTCAGGAATTGATACCAACATAAAGGACAGTTTGGGTAGAACAGTTTTGGATATACTTAAAGAACATCCATCTCAGCAGTCTCTCCAAATTGCAGCTCTACTTCAAGGTAAGCCACATTCAATTATACATTTGTTAGAGAAAACAGAGAAATATGGTTGTATATAGTAATTTCTACTCTTAACATGTTTCATTACATAAGGGAGCAGTCTTTTGATTTAAAAAGACCAGTTGAACAAAAATAAGTTGTCTAATATCTGAATTTCAAAGTAAAGCCTTTCTTTTTTTGCGGGCCACTGACATTAGCATGGTGTGTCACTTATACTTAGTCTTTTTACATTCTTCATTACACCATAGCATACTGTAATATTTCAATAGCAGTTCCATTAAATTGTAATGATTACCTAAAATTGAAATGTTTGATTTGTTCATAAATAGCAACTAAATGACTGAAAGATGATGACAATTTCTCAAACCATTTCATTGTATTTTGCTCACTTTCCTTAAATTTTAAAGAAACAACAACATAATAAACAACACCAAAACCAAAAAAATCAGGCAGTATTTCTTTTTATTATAGGAGAAATAACACAGTTTTTCGGACATGCACTTGTTCTCATTCCGTCTTACTTTTACGTTGTTAGGTTGATGGAAGTTCATTGTTTACTTCAATCTTCTGCTCTAGAAGATGGCAGTAAAGTGATGAAACATGAAATAGAACATAATTCAGTGTTAAGCATAATTTCTTCTCTTCTGTGCAATTTGTTCCCTGCATTTTCAGATTAGCCTTTCACTAAGTGCGTTTGACAGAGGAGGCCCCTGCAGGTATCAGTGCTGCATCTTCATCTCTATTGATTATTCCCACCATTAAATAAGCCATTTTAATCATTTCAGTGTTGGTTCTACACATGAACTAGCTCATGCTACAGGCTCCCTCATAACTGTATTTTATAAGAACATTGCCTAGAGAAAATGAGGTCATGTAGCCATACTGTGTCATTTCTTTCTAGAATTATTTTCAAACTAGATGAACAGCTTCCATAAAGTTTTCCAGTATGATGGACTGAAGATACAAAGCTTCTATAAGTATAATGAAAATTTTGCAGGCTGTAGGAGAGGTATTCCTGTAAGGAGCACATTCATATTACAGCTGAACCAGTTAACAGCTTGCCTTGAGGTCTCCCTCTCTCCCTTCCTATTTTCCTTTGCCTTTTCCCTCACTTCCCCCCTTCCTCCTCCCCTACTTCCACCTACACAGCTCTCTTACATATTTCCCATTTACATGAGACTTCAAAGTGACTCGATTCAGTTCATGAACTGGTAGATACAAAATATATATTTATTATATATATAAAATAATTAGAAACAATAATAAAAATCTATAAATGTACTTTCTGTAGCTTTAATTAGCTTGCCTCCTGTGTGATTCAGGTCTCAGAGTTGCCTCTATCTCAGGTAACTACACAGTGCATGAAAAGTGGGGAGGAAGAGATGTGTGGAGGACACAGGCTTCCCCCTGTCAGCAGAAGGGAGTTTCTAATTTGAGCCAGACTCAAACTTCAATCTTTAAGTCCTCACAGAGCTGCAACATGAACATAGTACCATGTGGAAGAAAAGAGGGTTAATGTCATACTAGAACTTCTTCAGTGGCAGGAAAAGGGTTGGTCAGAACTCCCATTTTCTTAGACATCAAAATCAAACATCCTTCAGGTATTAATCTAAGATTCATCATAAAATCCTATCACCAACTAAACTAATTTTGCTATCTCTTCATTGTTCCGTTTTCTCCTTAGTGTGATGACCTTGCAGTCTCCACTGACGAACATTTTTTTCAGAGTACCCTTGCTCTGTGAATAACAAAGCACCCAATGCCATCTCATGTTAATGGATCAGTACCTGCCCTCAGTCTTTACCACACACACAGAGAAAAATAAATATATTAATTTCAATTCTTTTTGTTGCTTTGACATGCAGTCTTTTTCAAAAGTGTGCCCTGAAGTATAAAAATGACTGCTTAGTAGTTTCAGCTCTTATTAGTGTGATGAAACTGTCTTGTAATGAGCAGTTGTTTATTTTTGCTCTCTGCCTATAATCGGAAGTGGTGTGCAAGAATGAAAAATGGTTACAAAGATGCCATTCTGACTCTTGAGACAACCTGAGGAGTCCCCTCAGAACTCCCTTGGGGAGCTTACATGGATTCTTTTTCATCATCAAGATGTTCACTGAATCTTTATCCATCAAAGTTTGAACTGTGAGCTGAAGTTGAAAAAGTCAGGAGTAGCAGGATTCAGTACTAGCACTATTGATGATACAGTTGACCTACACTCCTCTAAAAAAGACAGCTGAGTATACTCTTCACTGAAGTGTGGGTATTTATCCTATTGTAGCTGAAAAATCAGTGAAGCACTGGAATTTTTGGAATCCTGAATGTACTATAATTGAGTTTGACTTCAGTGCATAATGAATTCCATGCAAAGAAAGGGCAATTACTAAGAGAGATTTGGTGGCTTCCAAATAAATTCCCATTAAGGCTGCTGTCTTCAGATGGTTGTCTACAGCAGCTTACAAGGCTCTTTCATGTAGACTTATAGGAAATAGAAATTAAATTAATGATGCCAGACAATTACTGGCAGATTTTTTAAGTTTCTTGCTAATTTTGTGCTTTATGTAGACATAGTGGAATTAATTTGTTCTTTCACCTTGTTGCCAGGATAGACTAAGATTTTATCACTAAGCATTCTCATTAATTTTTACTGGTTCCCCCTTGCATTGTTCTGAGTGTCACTTTACAGTTTATAGTATTAACATAGCATAGATTTTTTCCCCGTCACAAAACATTAGCTTTCAAAACATAAAACAGAGACTGAAAGATGCCTATGGACAGGCTGGCAGAAATGGACAAGGAAATAATGTGACTGATATTACTGGTGGGCCTGTTATGCAAAGGAGTAAGAGTTGGAAGAAATGTTTATAAAGAGAATGAGTTAGATCTGGGAATATTTATAAGAAACTACTTTGAAGGAGATAAAAGTAATTTCTGTGTTTAGAAGCAGTTAATGAAGGTAGTAACACTAAACCCCATGAGCTGATACTAAACCCAGCAGGGCTGGTAGCCACTTGTGAATAAATGCTCTCCCAGAATTTAAGAATAGAAATTGTCCTCCCTCTTTTAAGAATATTTAGAAAACTACTTTTTACAGATTGTAGTTTTAAAGAAGCAAGGCCTTTTTCCCATGAGGTTTTAGAAGTGATCCTAGCATTCTTGTGATCCTTATTTTACATCTGTTCTTACTATCCTGAGAAAACAGCAATAGAAGTTTCTGCAAAAAAATTTTTTTGTGTGTTCGCAAAGCCTGCCATCTTTTTTGAGATGTTGGCACATAACCTGATAGAAGGAAAATAAATAAAAAGATCACTTAAAAGAGCAACATGAAAAAGGCTGAGTAAGCTATTGTGGTAGTTTGGCCACTAACTTAATACTTTTTTTACTGCCTGGTAATTATAGTTGGAATTAATAGAAATAACGCTTCAGGATTTACTTCTCTCTCTTTTGTATATCGCATGATTTTCTGTGTCTTCATTAGATCTGAGTAGCATTGAACTCACTTAAAAATACTTATTAGAGTTTGGATTCTTAACGTATTAAGGAAGAAATAGCTGTATATGTGCTATGTACTGGGAGGGGGTAGAGTTAGGATAATGTGCCAAGCAAGGCCAGGCTACTGGATGCATTTCATGGGTGCAGTGAAACAAAAGCACGCAGTGCTGAAGCAGTTAACAGTACTGGCACTTAGGGCTTTTATAATTAGGCATTGGAGATAAAAGGGATGTTGCCAAGGCTAGTAGGCCTAAAATTAAACCAACCAGCTGTGTTTTAGTTTTAGCACATGTGAACGTGACGCAGGTGCGAGATACACCATCTTTCAACTCTTTCTCCACAGCCCACTATGCTCTCTATTAGAATCTTGCTCTTTTACTATTTCGGGAAGCAGAATTCTCGTTACTATGAAACAAAGGAGATAGTAGATAAACAGATGAAAAATGGCATGAGCCCCAGTAAACGCTGCTGCATAGACAGTATGGAAGGAGATGCACAGGAAAACTGTTTCCTCTCTTCTCCTGAAGCTGCTTAGAAACCTAACATTGTTTGTACCTGTTACCAAATTATTCATAAATGGGAAATGCATAGGCAGCTGCAGAACCAGAACTCCTTTCTATTCCTTTTCTATTCCTCTTTCCTTAAATATCTTTGGTGTCATTAGCACTGGCTTTTTTTTTCTTTTTCTTTTTTTTTTTAATGTATTTTCTCTCTCTCTCTTGTTCTCTCCTGCTCTTTCTGTGGACAAGTACATCTTCCATTCCCTTGAGTGCAGGAGGCCACCCTTATTGGAGGAATGGAATAGGTTTTCAGTCAAGGATTTAATTACAGCTGCATTGGATGAAAATCATTGGGATCTCAATTCCCCTTCGCTATTTTGAGGATTTTTTTGTTTATGGGTTCATTTTATTTTGTTTTTCTGAGGACTTCTCAGTTTCTTCAGCAGGCTCTTGTACAAAGGCTGTAGAGCATTAACTGCATTCACAAATTAATTTAACTGCTTTTGTTGAGACTGAAAGTTTAGCTGCACCCTTACGTATCTCACAATCATAGTACTTCAGTGCTTGTTTCTGTTTTCTTTCCTGAACACAAGCACAAAAACATCTACTTTTTCAACTTTCATTTCAACTTTCTCTGGGATTAAGTTAAACTTGAACAATTTAGAAATTGTCCTTTGAAATTTAGGAGACTGAAATGAGCCATCCTCCATCACAGCTCGCCTGTCACCTTAGCACACCTGACAATGGTAGTTACCAGTCAGTTTCCTGCTACTGCATCTTCTGTAAAGAGAAGAGCAATTGGGTCATGAAGACTCAGGTGGCCTCCTTCTCTTGGGAGCAAGTGAGCTGTTTTGGGAGGAGCTTTTTGAGAGCTTCCAGGTTGGGGTAGGACACAATGGAGCTGCAGCATCCTCAGACAGGTTCTGGAAGAGTCTTAGGGAGGGAAGAGGGTTTTCTGAAGATTGCTGCCCTTCAGGAAGATGTGGAGTGAAGGAGGTGTAAGCACCTCCCTGGAAGGACATTGGCTATGGAGGGGACTGGTTCCTATATATAAGGTTTATTTCTGTGATCTAGTTAGTTAAGGGAGTCTTCTGTTTGAAAAGGTGTGTTCAGTTTTTTATTCTGATCAAATTTGCCCTTTTTGGTTTTTTTAGGATTTTAAAGAGCCTTCTGGTCTCCTTAGCAAAAAATTGTTCTAGGAAGAACTCTATATGAGTCTACTCCATGGTGTGGCCGAAGCAAAGTATAAAAACAAAAGAAAGGAGCTTATACTTAATTCAAAGGAAAATAATGATTAAAATAAATAGTTGGGTTTTTTATTTTCCAATAGAATGCAGCCATTGGTGAAAGCATCCAGTGCTTTTCTGTGTTTTTAATCTGGCTCTTGACAGAGACCGCCTATCTCTGTTTTGTGTCTCTTTCTCTGACAATATTGTCAGACTTAAGCCTCTTTCAGCTGATGCCCTGTCTTTGTCTTGTATGTATCTGGTAGAACTCTCAATAATAAAAAACCAAATTAGAAATCCCACAGAAGCCCAAAGTTTTAAGGGTTGTACCCTCACAACATTGGCATGCTGCCACCCCTCTTGTACTGTACTTTGTGTGAGCCAGTTGTAAAGGTTTTCTGGAAGAAAATCTGCATTTTTTAAAGTAAGTATTTAAGGCTTATGTTGAACTTGGGATTTCCTCCTCAGAACTAGCCTCCAGCAGGTAAGTGCATTGGTCTGGAAGGCCTGACAAAGAATAAAAATAGAGAATTATTTTAAAACCACAGTCTTGTATGATTATGTGACAGCAAGGTTAGAGTTATTCACAATATCCCCTCCATTTCCTTTCCTAATCATAGCTGTATTGATCTAATAATTGTAGCATTCACCTCATAGAATTACATTTCCTTTTGGAAAGTTGCATAATTACTAAGCAAACATTTTTCAGACTTGAATTTCTTTTTTCTTTTACTTTTCTTTGGGTCTGGCTTCCTTTGTATCTCTTCATCTTGCACATTAACTTGACAAATACTATTGCTGACAGAGCTGGAAAACATTCCAGGGCATTTTGTCATGGTGCTAGTTTTCTCATGGTCTCTTACAGCTCATCTTTGCTTCTTTGCTTTCAGACCCCCACAAAAACACAAAATAAGGACCCATTTTCATATGAAGAAATTTATGACAGATTATGCCAGGGACCATACTTAATATATGGCACTTTCAAATCATACAATTTTTTTTTTTTTAAATACCCCAGCAATCTGCAAAGCATTTTGAAACTGCATGCTGTTCTATGCCGTTTCCAATTTCAATTTCTCAGATGTCTATTTTATCACAGATTGTATTTGGGTTTTGGGATTTGTTATTTAATCATGAGTAGCAGCAAGCTAAACAAGTGCATTGTAGACTGTAGAAATTAAATCAGGGAGATGTCACTTCCCAGAAGCTCCTTAGTCCTTCAGTGTGATACTGATGAAAGATGCTATTGTACTTTGCTGCTGTGTGTGTTGCAACATATCCTATTGTGGTTACTACTGGTATCAGAATGAAATTATTTAAACAGTTTTCAGAAACTCAAGAAAATGCAGGTGCAGAATAACTGCCAAAACTAAGAACCAGTTGCTCTGCTGAAAAAAAAATAAAAAATGCTACTATTGCATAAATTAGTTTCTTATTTATTATTGCACTGAAATTCATTAAGGTTTTGCTCTTCCATTGAGGTAGCTTATGTACAAAAGCACATGAAAATAATGTAGATCTTTACAAAAAAAGAACAGTAATGAAATTGAAGATTAGCATTCATTATTTCATGTTTTTCTGGTATTATAAACATTGTAATAAACATGGGGCAAGGGAAGTTTTGAAGACGAAAACCAGAAATTGTAGTACACTGCTTTTTCGACTGCTATTTTAAACTAAATTTTCAGGATTGCTTTTTTTTTGTTTGCTTTTTTCCCCTCATGTACTATATCCGTGCTGCAAGCAGAGTATTTGGCTTTCTTAACAATATCAATGTCTGTATGTATGTGAGCATCCTGAATATCTTGACAAAAACCCTCCACAAACTTAGAATAAAAGTCTCTTTTAATTGTAATAATGTAATAGAACAGTTACGTTGATATTTCAAGGAGGCAAGAAAGACACAGAGTCTCAACTCATTACCCCTACAATGAGCTTTCTCTAGCAGTTTCCACAGACTACAGGACTGGCCATTATACTATTTTATAGTACTTTCAACAAATGATTGCCTTGCAGCAGTGTTTATGAATAATTACAGGGTTGTAATATGAAAAATTGAAAAGGCTTTAATGAAAAACAAAGTAGCAAATATACTTTTGATTGAAATAAACCCTCTTAATTCACTCTTTTAAGTGTATTTGTATCTTTAACTTGCAGAATACATGGAAACAGGAAATGCAAGTATTTCAGAGGAACGCCCACTGGAATGTGCAGAACATCAGTCTTGTGTTTTGTCCCCAGAAGTTCCTCCATCTCCAAAGGCTAAAAGTAAATACATGTACTCTGTGAATGCAAAACCTGTACTGAATTTCTCTTTAATATTAACATTCATCTAAATGTATGAAGTGGGAAAAATATTAACAAAGTTATTGATATCAAGTACGTTTTTTTCTACCATGAATCACCTATCTTGACTACATACACTGTAATCCATGCCATATAGAAAAGCAAGGAACTGTGTTCTTAGAAAGGACAAGTCACTAATGGACTACAATGTACTGCATTGTTTGATCTTAAATCTTCTTAATTTATCTGGTCTTACCCATTTCATAATCAAGTAAAATAAAAGTACTAAATATGTTTAAATACTCTGCATGTATTGTTCACATTCTGGTTAAAAATGGAATTTAGTTCATCTTTCCCAGTGAGTGCATCTACCAATTGTTTTACATTTGGAAGCCTCTTTAAAGGTCACAAGTGTACTGCTATTCCATTCATCTTCTAACACAGCTTTCATACACTGTGGCAGTCACTTGTGTGCATGTGCTTTCATTTTATGTTCTGATTCACCGTTTCCACATCACAGCCACTAAAATAGAGCATTTTCTGAGTGTGGTGTCTGTAATGAAAATCATCTTCTTATAGAACCAAACCTGAATTTTGCCTTCAGTAATCATCCAGAGTTAATGTAATTGATTGCTGGCAAATAATGAAGCCTGTTTTTGGTTTTGTTGTGTGAGTTGTGGTGTTATTTTGCTTCATAGTGGTTTGTTTCTTTGTTTTGTTAGTATGTTGGTTTTTTTTTTCTTTAACATGTTCACTGGGATAGTTTTTGTTCATGAGAGAATGAAGCTTCCTGATGCATGTCAGATAATGATCTTCATGGTGGTAGTGAACAAATGCTGTAGTTCCAATAATATTTCCCATTGGGGTACTTAAAACATATGTGGTGTGTGAAGATAAATAGTTCCTTTGAGATTAGTAGGATTGTGAAGCAAACTAGCATATGCAATAGATGTGTCTGTCCTGAAATTAAATAGCAAATATTTTAAAAATATGTTTTACTTCTTAACAATAAGGTCATGATCTCACATTCCTTATTTCCTCTTACAAGGTATAAATAATGTAAAACATACAAGCTGGCTTTTGCTTGTCTATTGTGTAATCTGATACTAAAGAAAAGAAATCGTACTTGATCATGCTTCCCATCCATCTGTCTGCCATTCATTGACAATCTAATTTTGGATAATTTAAACCAGCTTTGGAAGAGGGATAGCAGTACCAATTACCTTTCTGTGACTTTCATGAAAACAGGGAGCTGGATAGACGCAAAAGACCCTAATTAGTACCTGTCCTGAAAGAAATAGGCAAAATCTGTCTTTTATGTGTTCTGGCTGCAATCAGCCAATCAACTAGTGCACTTACACCCAGGTCAGTCCAGTTTTGTCCAACAGAACTCATTCTTGTCCAGTAAGAAATACTGCAGGCCATATGTGGGACTAAGGACATGAATATAGCTCTGTAGGAAGCAGTAGTTCTGTTTCTTTATAGCACACTGTATCTAGACACTATAACTATAACTATAACTATATATAACTATAAAAACTATAACAGTTTTTTTTATATTTAGGTATTTTACCTCCAATTTTTAGTTATAATATTAATCTGGAATAATTTCTATTTTCTAATTAAAAATCAGAATATAAATAAACCTGGTTATATTTTTGTTTAGTTTAAAAGTTTCATTCAAAGCTACCATTGACTAAGAGTAGCAAGAATTTTGAATGCAAAATTTGTTAGATTTTAAAAAGCAATTACATTCTTTTAATTAACAACTCTTGTTCTTTTCTCTGAAAATTTTGGTAATAACTGTCTGTGGTTAAACTTTAAATACATTTTTGAGTATTTGAGGTAGCATAGCAAACAGTAACTGAAAAAAATGAAACAAACAGAGCTTTGTACCAAGCAGTACACTTTTATCAGTGGATTCTTTAGTTATGTGAGTGTACTTAAGTCTGTTTTATGTATACTGAGCTTAATATGCTCACTCTATTTTTCCTTTTCAACATTTTATTTTCAGAGATGGAGTAACGTGGAAGCATCTGTGTTTTATCAAGTCTAAGCACTGCAGTTTCCACCAATATGACTGTTGTAAACAGTCATTAAAAAAGTTAAAAAAAGGGGTTTCTTACTTGCTCCTGGAAACTCTTGGCTTTTTAATTTCTTATTGCTATTACTAAAGGTAGTTGTAATGCACACACACAGTACAGAATCAGAACCCAATGTGGGTTGATCATACTGAGTAGCTTTTCAGTCTGTAGAGGCCTTACTGCTGCCAGGGGATTATTTGCAGAATGGTTGGCACTTAATGTGATTCTACTAGTTATTACAACCACTATTTCCAATGGTGTTCCTCAGTATAGACGTATGAAGCCTATTGTCTTACTGTTCTGGTAGATTTCTTAACTAAAGAAATCTGATAAATTAAGGAGAAAACATGAAACACAATGCAGAATGCACTAAATGTGCGTTTCTGATAGATTGTAGGAAGGCATATTTTAAACATGTAGGGTTTGCCCAGTACATTCTTCCACCATTCCATTTAATCCTGGGAGAGTGAGCAAGAATTATTCATAAAGCATATCTGCTTTGATGGGGGAGAGATGCATTCTTAACCACTTAGAGTTTACAGAGCTTATGTAGTGTATTAATTAATTACAGCAGCAAACATGAACCCAATGCAGAACATGAGATATTGATTTTGTATGTTTGTAGAAACTTTCCTTTCCTGGATTAATTTTACATTCTTGGGTAGTTGCTGTTTCTATAAATTTTCAGGATTAGAAAACAGAGAAAGGGTAAGTGTATATTCATCTTAATTAAATGTGAGGTATAGGGCAATGCAGAGGAATGTAGATTGCCTCTAGCAAATTCCCAGGCTGGAATAAGGTGCCATTATTTTTGAGCAGAGAATGGTGCATGAAGATGATTGTGTAGAAGATAAGGTATGGAAAATAACAGGTACTCGATAAAGTTTAAAGAATATGCATTTCCTTTTTAAGCATAAATTATCCCAGTATTCTAATTACTGACTAATGGTGTGTCTGTTTTTAAAGGTGAAGCTGTGACTGGAGAATTATCAAAGCTCTTAGATGAAATCAAATTGTGCCAAGAAAAGGAATACTCTTTTGAAGATCTGTCTCATACACTATCAGACCATTATCTGGAAAATTTTAGTAAAGTATCAGAGGAAGATCTTATGACCAGTGGAAGCCAAACCAAGCTTAATGTAGTAAGTAAGATGGGATACAAGGACAATATATTCAGTTAAATCTGATTTATTTATAGCACATTCAAGAAAGAAATAATAAAAGAGTAAGAATAGTAAAAGGTTAATATCATAAAAAAATACATAACATGTGGTTCTTACAGATTTAGAATGTAATGTTCACTGAATTTTTCATTGTTTACCACACCTCAGAATGGATTTTTATGTCACCACTAATCCATTCAGGTTAGTTGTCTTGAGCATGACGAGGGCAAGGAAGGGGTTTTTTTGTGAAATCAGTGGAGATCAGTATGTTCAATACTAGTCTGAATTTTAAATGTTAACAGTATCTAATCAAAAATGCCCCCAGAAGAACCAGCTAAACATCCTCAGTTATTTTTCTTATATATTTTATTACTATATAGCTTTCTTGGTAGTCTAATGATTCTGAAGGCTGAATCTCTAACACAGAAAATTGTGGTTTTGATACTTCAGTGATTTCCAAATACAGTTGAAGATGACTTCATTGCTACTAATATAATGAATAAAGTACTCTAGGATTCATTTCATCTTTATTGCAGCAAGGTTTTTGGTGGGGTTTTTTTTTCTTTTTAATTGAATTCTCTTCCTCAGCCAGTTTCCTGGTTTCAGCTGGTTTAGGCTGAAACTTAAACCATGACATGAAATAAATGTGATTGCCCAGGGAATAAAGCAGAAAGCAAAGAAAAACTGCTAAGTTCTAAATTTCATTTAACATTTTTCATAAGTTTAGGAAAATTATGCTCACTTATGCAAGTGACATGGCAAGTTAGAACTTCATGTTTGGGAGGATTTATTATGACATATATAGACAAAATGAGATTTACAAAGATGCATAGCTGCCTTGAAATGCAGTAGATACTTTTGTATAGCCCTTCTACATGTTTGAATGTTTTGATGCATAACTCATACTGAACTCAATATGAGCAAGATACTGATCCCATTTAAGCATTTTTAGACACTTGTCTAGTGTCTCTCTCAATTTAGGTGCTAACTGCTATTTAAATCTTCTCAGCTGCTGTTTTGCAGAAAATGTATTCCGTATAAATCTGTCTGCTCAGGCCTAAATGAAATACAATGTGAATAGAAAGTATTCAGACACTAAATCTGTAATTTCTGTGACAGGGAAGTATCAAGATAAATGAGGCAATGTATGTTTTTGATATTTCATATATTTTTATTGAACTAGATGTGGAAACAAATCTTCAAAATTGGGGATTGTTTGAAGCATTTCATGGTGCTTTCCTACTGTGGCATCCAGCTTTTCTTTCAGAGAAAACTGTGTTCAGGATGATGGGTGTGCACTCCTAACATGAAATTAGGATGGAGGTCAGAACTTGTTTTCCTCTGCAGTAAACCCAGCTATACAAATCTGTATGGAAAGGACTCTGCTGTGGTGTGAGATTTTCCTGTTTGTTCTAAAGAATCCGTTTAAATTTTTAATATATTTTAAAGTTATTCGATCTGTTCAGGTTCTACCTGGCTGCCTTGAATAAAAAAAGAAAAGTTGCTTCCATTTTTGACACAATGACTTTTAATTTTGGGCAGGTGCTGCCTTGCCTTTCTGTTTAGACTCCTTGTGTAGTACATTGGTGATGTGAAAACCCACATGCTCTGTAAGGGGCCATGTAAGAGTAATTGGGAAGAAGCACTAAAGTGAAGAGATATGTTTAGCTCTGGAAATGATTGCACAGGTGAATGCCACCATACTGCTCTGGGGGCAGGACCAGCAAACATAGTCAAGGAAGATGTGTGACAGTACAGTGATGATTGAAGAAACTTAAATGAATATTTATGTATAAGAACATGAAGATACAGAGAGAGAGAAGTGAGGATGTATATAGATGTGAAGAGTCAGAAATAGATTCATTGGATATGTATTAAAGAAGAGAGACTCTTGCAGATTTTTCTGACTTAAGTTTTCTATGGGAAACTTCTGTAAGAATCTCAATAGGTTAAGTGGGTTCTCTTCTGTTATCTGCAGTTGTTCAGCTCACATTTGTTTCTACTGCACATGCCAAGACCCTTTGGAAGTATGGGCAGCACAGGACACCCTATGGAGTCTGTCTGGAGCAAAGACTTTCTGCCTGTTGGACTGAGCGTTGCCTTTCTCTGTTACCAGCTCCAACAGAGGGCTGGAACCACATCTGGTGTGCTTCTACTTCAGGTTCAAATCAGCAGGTTTTTCCTAACTTCCATTGCTGGCTGTGCTGGCATCAGCTCTGAAGAGGTGTAGAAGTTAGCTCCCTGTTGATAACGTGTTAGGTGGTGCCATTCCCAGGCCAAATGTCAATCCCAGAGACAATGACTGTTGAAGGTTTTTCTTCTTGTAGTTCAGCAATCTGAAAATTTCTGAATCCCAAGTCATGCCACTTTGTGACCCTTAGGGAAAATCTGCAAAGGCACTGGCTGCTTGGACATCTGCAATTTTTGCATCATGCAAAAAGAAATAGGAGAGAGAGAAATAGAAATAGGAGTGAGAAATAGGAGGCCAAGACTGGGGATTTTCTGATTTGAGTAGTAATTTGTGGATCATAAACTTAGGAAGCTGGAGCAAAGAGCATCAGGAGCCACCTCACAAGGATAGCGTAGGCCTGGGGAAAAGAAGGCATCAGGGATCAGAGGGTATTTTAAAGCATTTTTTAAACAACTGTCTCTTTTCAAGAGGGCCAAAACTGCTCTGGCTAAATGAGGTTATGATTGATTTTAGACTGCAGAAAGGAGTGTCTGTCTATCCAGAATCCATAGTCTGGAATTCTGTCCTGAATTTTAACTGCTTACCTTTATTGTTTGAAACAGTAGGGCTAACAGTTTTTGTTTAGTGTAAGGGTAGTGTGGATGCCTGTTTTTAATGCAATAGCTTGACAGTAAAGTCTTCATCTGGAAAAGTAATGTTCAATTCTGTCCATGGCATAAGGGTAAGTTTCAACATTGGTTTTATCATCTCCCAGATAAAGTACTGATCATCAGGCTGTGATCCTTTCTATTATTGTTTCTGCATTGTACAGCCACTGGAAAAATACCAGTGCCATCTGCAGAGCAGGACTTTGTATGCCTTCTTCACAGGCACATTCTCTTTATCTGATTTTAGGCATCTTGCATTGTTTGTTGCTCAGTGATACAGCATTTGTGGAATTCTATACTTTGAAAGAATTGGGTTGGAAGTCTTTTACGTCAAGGACAGAATTGAATCCATTCCTCCATTTCATGTGTTATTAGACAAGCAGTCATCCAACAACATAACAAGTTGTTCTGGAATGTTTGTAGTAAAGAACGACTTCTTTTCATCAAATTTTGCATTGAAAAACATACATGTTTTTATTACTTTATAAGTTTCTATTGGCCAGGTGTGTGATTTGTGACAAGGCATTAAATCCCCAGACATTTATGCACTTACGGTGTTTTTTCAAGTAAAATAGGAAGCAGAATTTGCACAGGTCTGAGATTGTGTGAAAAAGAATGAAAAGAAAAAAAAAGAAAAAAGAAAAAAGAAACTGTTTGGTTTAATCATCTGAGTTCCAAATTGCTAGTCAGCTTTGACTCTTAAATTTCTTTGGGACACGGAGGAGCTGACTAGAAAATTGATGGTCAGGATCTTGGGGACTGGAAGGCATCACATCTGGGAGAGGGAGAGTACAATTTAGCAGTAATTAAGAGTAAGGACAGTAACAGTAGACCCACAGTGTAGACATGAATAGGAACAGATCTGGAGATGAGTGAAAATGTCCCCACAGGATGCTTCCCTTCCAAAAGTTGAAAGGGGAACTGTGACAGAAGAGCAGATTTTTAGCTTCCTGAATGGGAGGGAATGATTAATGAAGAGGGAGAAAAGATTGAATGCTGAATAGCAGAAAGTCAGATTAGAGCAAGTTAATGTGATTTTTCAATTTAAAGAGTACATTATAAAGGATAAACTAAAGGAAGTCAAAGCTGCACTGGAAATGTCATAATTTAAAGATTTTCTTTTGCCACTCTGGCAGTGTTTGGTGTGCTGTCATGCAAAATATTAGTGCCATGTTTCCTAGTCTGTATTTACTGGTCATTGGAAGAAGTACATTACAACATACCATGCAGTGAGCCCCACATTGTCTCCACAAAATTGTTCATTTTCTCCACAAAATTAAAGGCCAGATTGAACACAGTTTTGCAATTTTACTTCAGAGAGACTTCCAAAAGACTTTCATAGACCTATGTATCATTTTAGTTGGAATTCCTATTACTTCTCAATGACTTGTATGCTGGGTGGGGTCGACAGTCGGTTCACAGATTTTTTGCCTCCAGTTGCTGTCTTTGTTTTTCCCATTTTGGTCATTGTGACATGAATGTACTCTTTAGCTGAGCTGTGTATGCAAAGGTGTGGAAAGCCCTGACTGATGCTGCACAGGCAAGCTGAGAAAGCTTTATACTTGTGTATCGCTCAGTGCTGACGTATTACAGTTTTCCTATCTTCCCTAAATAAAAATCTTTCAAAAAACCTAGAATTTGATTGTTCAGTGACTCAGAAAAGCAGCTGTGCTTCAAAACTTATTTCAGAAAACATGAGGTGGAAAAAGATATAGGAAAATCCTTGATTTTATCACAGTTCAATTAACTAAGGTGTTTCCTTTTCAAGCTGATTTAAGTACGACTGCTAGAAAAATCAGATTTTGACAGTAAATTATAGCAGTTTCACATTATTTTGGTTTTTTTCTTTTTTTTTAAAGTATAATTAAAAAAAATATTTATTTTCCAATAGATGGCAGTCTGGTTCAGTAATTTCAAGAACAAAAGCAACCATCTTATATAAGAGTTTTCCAACTTTTTTCATTTCTGCATTAAAATTGTGCATTTTAACACAGCTGATAGTCCAAAATGCTTAAAAATGAACACCTTTAATTCCTCTAGGAGAAAAATTTATGGAACATCATGACATACATTTAAGCTACAAACTAAAATGTCAGGACTAAATTTAGAAGTGTATCATGGCAAAGAGGTTGCATACCAAG